AATAACTAATAAATAGTGTATAGAAAACCTAAAAAATTGCTTCATGAAACAAATTTTTTTTTCTAAAAAATCAATTAATAAGAAACAGAGAAAATAATAGTTACTACCGAATAATGATAATTTTGTGACTCATATAATCTACCATCAGAGAAAGAAAATTTGTAGGAATTAAAAGTCAATTTGGAACAAAATGTTTTAAACCGTGGTATATAAGAATATTTTTTTTTCAAGAGAATTGTTTTTTTTTATCTTTAGGCGACATTTTCCTAATTCATCCATAAAGTTAAAAAAAAAAGTTTTATGTATTTAATTTGTGTTACTTTGGAACTTTGGAGATGATTTGCTAAATTTGGAATTAACTTATTTTTTGTGTTATTTGTAAGAACTGCCATAAATTTTAAATTAATTTCAGTAATTTAACAGGAGAAATTTAAATTAATTTCAAGTATACATGTATGGGTCCTTATCTAGTTTTACAATAATATTAAACATGTCCATATATACCAAATAAAACGCAAAAAAAATTATGGTAAAACGGAAAATGCCACAACACTGCTGATTGCCGCTGCAATAGCTCCAACCACAAATCCTGGTAAATTCCCACCTCCAAATAACGCATCAATAGGACCAACTCCAAATGATACAACCATTTGTGGTATCACTATTGCCATGTTTAAAACGCCTAGAGAGAGTCCTGCGATGACAACAAAAAGAACACATCCTTAATTTGACACTTTAATATTTATGTTACACAAAACGATTACTGCTTTCTATTGATATAGCAAATTCCTTATGGTTAACGAAAACCAAATCCGTAAGAATATCAATTAATCAATCTAATTAAGTTAGTAGATAACAGATATCACCATAAATTTACAACGTTATAAATAATAAAAACGTAATAAAAAAATTGTAATCTTCAAACGTAAAGTAGAGATAATTGGAAACCAATCTCTGATTTAATTTAGCTTTTTGTATTCACACATTTAATTAGTATTTTATAGAAGATTTAAATAATATTTATAAAAGAGAGGTAAAAATATCTTGACCGGCACCGGAGCTGCTAGAGATTATGGAAGCTAGCGCGAACGGAATACTAAATGTAATCTATAAAAAGATACCAAGAAATGGATTATTGATTTTAACAAATAATAAATCATGGATGATAATAATAACAAAAATTGGATAAAAGGTACATGTTGGACTTACAGCAAGAGGAATTCCAAGAAGAGCAAAGAGAGTCAATGCTCCAGCTCTGATGCCATCAGTAGGAAGGGCCATCGGACCGGCGATTCTCCGGTGCTCCTCTGCCTTTTTAGTAACCAAAACTGTCATTGCCAAACACACGGCAAGTATGATATTCACAGCTCCCCAAAGCCTTTTAGCTCCTCCCACTTTCCTACTAATACCTTCAATACCAAGTGACATGACTCCAAGAACGATAGAGTTAAGCATCAATCCCAACGCACCAACGTGAATTCCTTGGTTGTATAGTTTCTTCATTTTGTCATCTCCTTTTGAGTCTCCACCGTACACCTCACGACCCATCCAATCGGTATCGTACAAAAGGAAAGGGAACCATGCGATCCAGTTCAAGGCCGTGACGATTAATAGCATCCACATTGGACGTTTCATCACCTTGAAAGCTCCAAAGATTTCACCAAATAATGGAGTTTTCTCGTTGTCGGAATCTGCCTTAGGCGACCATTGCTTGTCTTCCACGTACCAAAGAGCTATGATGGTGACGACTAGGAGGAGAGTGATGGAAAGGAAGAAACAGCTCTTGAGATTTGCGCAATAGATGTCGCATGCTTTAGTCATTGTGAAAGGGAAGATCTTGTAGAGGTTAGTGTACGATCCGGCCGCGTATCCCAAAACATTTCCAACAGCCATGAAGAAGGAGAAAAATGCGTTTGCTGTTCGTGTTTTCTTAGCGTCTCCAGCTGCTAAATCACCAAGGAATGCGCGGCAAGGTCCTTGGAGAGTGTTGTTAGCCACGTCAAGGATCCAGAAACCGAGAGCGAAGATAACTACGGCTCGCATCTTGACAGGTTCGTCGACTTTGTCTCCCATGCTGTGACCGAAATCAGCCGCATATCCGATTAGTACGACAGCAACGGCGACAAGTAAGGCGCCCATAGCGATGAAAGGACGACGACGACCGAATCTTGACTTGCATCGGTCGCTGAAGTAACCGACGGATGGCTGGACAAGCAGGCCGGAGACAGGACCACAGAGCCATATGAAAGATGACCATTTGTGTGGGACTCCAAGAAGCTGCACGTATGGAGTTAGCAGAGACAGCTGAAGAGCCCAACCGAACTGAATACCGGCGGCAATAGAAGCCACCGATATCATCTTTCTCATCGGAGATGGCCCATTAAGTTCAGCCTATGACGAGGAAGACTGTCTATTCACAGCCGTTGCATCTTTGTTTGCTTGGAGGTCACTCATCTTCTTCACCTTGTCTTAGAGGTTGTTTTTGGTGTTGGTGAGGGAGGAGATGAAAGAAACTGGGCTTGTCTCTTAAAGACAAGGTAAAGAAGAGGAATGAGACTTATATTTCTATAGATGTTTTTGTTCTGTGTTTCAATAGTTTGGAAAAATAAATCTTTTATAGTAATGCTATAATGCATATATCCTTATAGGATTGTTGTAATAGTGACAAGACTAACGTTAATATAACCGTAATCAGTTTATTATCTTATCTTTATATCATTTATTTTGAGATTGTGACAGATTTTTCAATTTCTTGTTTCTGTAGTATGACTTTTATAAATGTTTAATTGAATTACAAGAGATTATAAATGGTTTTAAACGACTTTAAATAAATTTCATGTTTAATTACATAGGCTTTAGAAAGATATTTAATTAGAAATTATTAGTTGAATAACAGGAGATCTAAAAAAAAAAAAAAAAAGGGTTGATTGGTTGTTGCTTTAGACAACCCTTTTTTAAAAAAAGGGTTAAAAAAAAAAAAAGTCTTTCCACAGCCCAAAGTATGTCTTGCTTTAGACAGTATTACAAAAGCTACATCCTCAATATAGCAAAATTAAATGACCAATATCATGAACCAAGAATGTGATATTAGTGAGTCTTTGGTGGGTGATGACCAATTTTGGGCGAATCAGTTTCCCTCATTTTCATCAGAAGACCTGCTGTATGTTTTGACAAAATTGCTGTTTTTGATTAGAACTCTATCCAGGTGAACAATAAATCTATCAAGCTTTTTATGTTTTCATGGTGGAGACTGATTGATTCTTCACTTCTTTTCAGGTCACAATATTAATTCAAATATTATATGTATTAGTAAAATAAAAATTTGTAGATGTATTGAATATATGAATTTTGAACACTAAGCGCAAGGTTAGTAACCTAGTTCGAGAAAGATATATTACCACAGTTTCGATTTCTAAACAATATGTATATGACTCATAGTTTGGTATTTATTTTCCCATTACAAAATTGACATAAAGAGCTCTTCCAATGCATGGAGCATATATATGAGTAATGAACACATTGCATTCAAGTCAGAAAAGGAAAGTGAAAAAGTGACAATGCAGGCATGTATAAAATATGTTACGGCCTTAATTGTTTGGCTCTATGATTTAACCATAAATACTCTAATTATTGCATATTTAAATTGTATTTATCATATGTAGTGAATTTGTTTGTCTCGTCACATTTCAGTTTAACAACGTTTTTCACATTCCCACAAAAAAAAACAAATTTCAGTGATTATTTCCTCTCATTTTTTTTTTTTTGGTGAGAGTGATTATTTTCTCTTCTGATGATTACAAATTTGATCGACCATTTTTTATATAAGACTTTTTTAGCCATATAGTATTTACATTACATATCATATCAAACCGTAAGACCATCTCCATCAGTCAAAATAAGAAAAGTTTTTCAAAAAAAAAAAATATTAATATTTTAATTAAAACTAATAATATGATGACACCTGTCCAAATTTGATAAGAATAGTTTCTCAAAGTTTCTCCTCCGAGAAACTCAACTCTCCTCTACTACTTTTTCTCACCTCTCTTATACTTTTCCTTTTTTAATTTTTTTTTTTTTTTGTTGAGTATGTCATTGAAATACTTCTAATGGAGATGCTCTAAGATCTTTGAAAAGTTTAACTATTTCCTCGGTAAATAGACTACACTAATCTTATGAGGATAATTCTTTATTAATCAACTTGAAACAAGTGGAAATAATATATAAATATAAATACTAAATGTTGAAAGCTAAATAGTCAAAAGAAAGAAAAGAAAAACAGTTATTTTTTAGCCAATTTCCACACTGATTACAACAAGCTAGATCACTCCTCTAAGCAGCCTTCTGATTATATACGTATTATTCTATCAATCGATAAGGATATTTCAACGAAATTGGTAAAGATAAAAAGAGACGCCCTTCATTAGTTAAAGCTGACTTTAATTTCGATATTATACCTTTCTTCCTACAATTAATTTACACCTAAAAGTAAGTCCATATTATAAAGTACGACGACGTTAAACCAAATTAACAAAACAGTAGTATTGAAGTTTTGATTACCTATTGATCCTATAAATATATATACAAAATTGAACAACTCAGCTTCAAGCTGAAATCAAATACTGCATCATCAATTCTTGTTTTTTCTTCATGCTTTACATTCTTCAGAAAATAGAGCATTTGATAACACTTGAAACCAGGTTTCGTTCCCTTCAACTTTACACGGTCTGTTACACTTATATATACTGTATAATATATGCATGCATGTCAAAAAGAAATTTCGATTATATTGTTTCTCATAATCAGCAAGGTTTAACAGATTAATTAAGGAAACCATAATTGTAGATATGCATAATGTTTTTTTTTTATTCACCATATTATACACCATACGTACATACAAAAAAAATGATATACACCATTTATGTTCATCTTTCTTGGCTTACTAGAGAATTAGGTGATCGGTTTAACGATTGGTCTTGAAGATTGAGAAGCAAAACGTGTAAGTTGAGGGGAATGAAGCCTGGTCCGACATCATCATCATCGTTATCATCATGAGATCATGAGATGGAATGATCTCGAGCCAGGCATCATTCACCTGAACTTTTGGCTCAGAAAGACAGAGAGAGAAGATCAGAATGAGAAAAAGCTGAGAGATGATTAAGAGTAGAAATGTTTCTTCTAAAAGATATGCTCTTTTATTAGGCCAAGTAGCTTGGAGAGTGGAGACTGTTTTTTCCTCTCTCACCAATTTTGTCTCCTATTCCGAATGATAGAATATTCCTAGAGAAAGAATTATGTAACACAATAGTAGTTTTTTTTTATAAATTGATTTTTTTAAATTAAAAAACTACTGCCTAGATAATTTTTATTAAATTACGTTAGTTTATTTTAGTCTTTTTCTTTAGAAATTATATTCAAAACGAAGTTTGTTTAACCAAATAAATAAACTAGTTGTATATATTACTTCATAAATTTAATTAATTTGGTGATAAAAATATGTAAGACATTCTCCATAAACCTTCCTAAACGTGTTCTTGAAAAAAAGTTATTGTTTTTGGAAATAAAACGAACAATTCTTTTATAATTTGGTATATTACTTTAGAAATTGTTAGTAATAATTTCCCCTAATAATTTTAAGAGATTTATCTGTTGTAGCAATTTGAACTTTCTTTATTTTTGTGTAAATTTTTTATCAAATATTTTGTTATTAATCAATTTCTTTTTTGGTTAACAACATCTAAAAAAGGTTTTGATACCGGATTTTGACACAAAGACAACATTAACACTGTACTACTCACCAAAAAAAACAAAAACACTAACTATATGTTCCAGTTTTTGATCTTAATTAAATTCAAACATCACTCTTTTTTTATCGTCAAAACTGAGGTTACAGATATATAACTTTTTTTTTTTTTTTTGGTGTAGATATTCCAATTTAAGGTATCCGGAAAAGCATGGATAGAAGTTTGGTATACCTAAGTTTCAAGATATATGTATGATCTGTAACTAATACATCATTACTTTAAAGACCAGAAATTATAAACTAAGAGAAGTTTGGTATGTCAAATAAAGACGTATTCCCATTTAAACAATCGCATTCTCTACTTTTTAGATTTTGTTCTGTTTTCAAGTCAAAAAGAAAGAAAAAGTTTCTTTGACAACCATTCATAATACTATTAGCTGCAGAAAAATTAGTTCCCTGTCACAATCTAAGAGCTAACTAACGTTTCACAACTTGTGTCATCTTTTAACAAACGTCAAATTCTTAACTAAAAAAACATACTTTATTAATTACATGTAACAGAACCATTATTGTATATGAACTCGGATAATTACAACAGATTAAAAAAAAAAAAACTGTGACTGTAACTTGATAAGTGATAGCCAGACCATTTATTGAATTTTCTTTACATTGTCAAAGATACAAAGACTGAAGAAAAGGTAGAGAATGAGCAAAGCTTCTGGATGAGAAAGAGAGTTTGCATCAGTCTAAAGAGAGCTTAGCCAGAGTGAGGGAGAGTACTTTTACTCCATTAGCCATGTCTTCAGGAGATGAGTATTCTTCAGGTTTATGGCTGTATCCTGCAAAACATTACGCAACCAATAAAAAGCTTAATGGGCGATGCAATAATTTGATTAAGATCACAGTCTAATTGATTCGCATATACCTTTGTAGCACGGGATGAATATCATACCCATCGGAGATATCCTGGATACAGCAATATACAACAAAGTTCAGCATCACTCTAAGCAAGAACATTCAAAGTAGCTAACGAATCTAACCGATTCTGATATGGCGATGAGAGAAATGGACAAGGAACTTTAAGAGTTTCAATACGGATTACTATAACTCTATAATATGAGTTAGGACTCTGCAGGGGAATAATTCAATAGTTATTGTATGTTGAAAAGTTATCAGGGTTCAGGATGCTCTAATTTAAAAGTTTAGGGTAGTATTCTGAAGATGAAACTTGCAAACTTTGTGGTACCTGGCCATGAAGAGAGAATCATGATAAGCTCGGCTGATCATCATCTTGTGTGATAAGTTAAGTTCTGTGGCTGCCTCTGCCATTTTCTTGATTACTAGTTTGTCTGAGAGTGCTGGTGGATCTTGATTTACAATCTTGAATTCTGATAGCTTCACTTTTCGTTTTTTAGCTATCGTGTTAGCAGATTCCTGAATTTTCTTGATCACGGTGTTTCTTCTCGCTTCATCGATATCCCTTGTATCTTTGAAAGAACACAAGAAAAAGAACTTAGTCCAACGATCAAACCCAAAAAAAATAGGACTACTCTCAGCTTCCTCAAGAGCTCAGATAAAGCACGGTATATTTACCAGACTTTCTCTATTAGTATGTGTAATAAAACATAAGGAATTACCGATTTCAAGATGGGATTTGCTTGGAATGCTGTTGATTGCCCCAGGATGTAGCTCCAGAATACCTTAAACCACAATGATTCATCTTGTGAATAAGTTCTACTGAGAGTAAGTTCTTTAGAAATTAGTGAGGCAACACTTACCAACAGTTCCTACAGTATCTATTGACTCCGACTCTAATACATGTTTCTCCACGGCTAGAGCCAACTCTGCAGCCGCAAGCCCGGCATCATTTCTAAGAAATAGTCATTATACAGTGATCAGTGTACTAGTGCCTAGTTGTTAAGCAGATGGTTCAGTTGCATAATATAGCTCACCTATATGGCATAAGTACAGCACCAGCATGACCTCCATTGCCTTCAAATTCCACCTTCAAACTTGCTGGAGCAGCAATGGCGGTTACAACACCGATATCTAAACCTGTGGTCAAAAAATGATCTTATTAACTAAATTGAAAGAGAGAAAAAACACAAAATTCTTCGACGCAGAAAAGGGAAGTTAACCAGACCTTCGTCTTCAAGTATCGGTCCCTGTTCAATATGCAACTCTATAAAAGCAAAATAACTTCCTTTCTTCAAGAACACACTCGATAAGTCGTCATCTTTGTCTTCTGCGTATCCTGCTGATCTAGCTGCTTCTATAAAAGACACATTTTGGCCATCAACAACTGTAGTCTTTAGTGCTTCTGCAAGTTCTTTGCTTCCAGCAAGCAAGCGGCTATATCAAAAACATTGACAAGTAAGACAAAAGGAAACAAAGCAACGATCTTTTCTCTGTTCATAAAGATCAACACAAAGGGTACCTTCCTAAACAACTGATCCCAAATCGGGTCGGTTCCTCAGATGTGAACAAGATTATCTCCAGAGATCTCTTCGGTTTAAACCCCGACCTTAGAAATCAAAGAAACCCCCATCAGGAAACACAATCTAGACTTCACTTTCTACAGTCCAAAGATTCTTTATACCTTTTCAAAACATTGATCGCTTCAACTGCACCCAAAACACCAACAACACCATCATACTTGCCAGAATACGGAATAGCATCGATGTGAGAACCAGTGGCTACAGCAGGAAGATTTGGCTCTGAACCATCCCTAAGCCAAGAGGTAAGAATAGCATCATCAAACATACAAATCAGTAAGATACTATTCTTTTAAACAAACAGAACAACGAGCAAAGAGCGAGAACCAAACCATTTGCCAAATATGTTACCAACAGCATCTTCTCTAACATTAAGACCAGCAAGTGCCATCAAATTCTTCACATACCTAACAAAACCAATCAACTTAGCTTAACAAAATCTAATCTTTATGATTACTCAATCAAGTAAACAGATTCAAATTACCTTCGAGCCAAGACATCTTTATCAGTATAAAGAACTCTGGTGACTGATGGAGAAGGAGCATCAGAGAAACTAGAAAGCTCATCTATCTAAAACCAAAAACAAAAGAACTTCATCCATCAAAATCAAAGTTCTAAACTTTAGTTATCTACTGTTCCACTTTAAGAAATTGAACCTGGTTTTGCAGTCCTGGAGCATCAACGGAGAGTGAAGAAGCGAGATTGATGGAACCGAATTGACCCGGTTCGTGAATTGGGTATCCGGAAAAATCTTCCATTGTTCTGATTGATTCATGTTGTTGTTGTTGAGCTAAGCTTGAAGGTAGAAGAAGGGAGATAAGAAGAAGCGCAATAGAGCAGAGGAAACGTTTCAAAGATTCCATTTTTATTTTTTTCTCCTTCAGTGTTTTGATTCTGAGAGAGCAATACTATTCATTCATAATTTGGTAATTATACTTTGGGGAAACTTATTAATTAAATTTTGAGCATTATCATTGTCCAAATTTGTTTTTTGGGGAATCCTCAAAACTAAGTGGGAATCTGACAGAGTGTTTTGTTGCACTCTATTGATTCTGATCTCATCTCATATGTAAAATACTATTTTTAAAAAAAATTGAATTAAAGTTTATATGTTTTGGAATCTTTGTATTTTGTATCATTAGAGAGTTAGAAGGAAAAAAATCCATCATTTATTTCATAGAGGCCCGTTTCATCATCTGAAAAGCCCAATTCGTTGGATCAATTGTTAATCATATCTTACTTATTGCATAGAGCCTACATACAAAATATTTTGTTCCTGATTGTTTTAAGAAAAAACATATCTTTCATAAAAGTATCATATGCTGTATTTATAAACTAAAAAATATGATACACTAGCTTTATAAGTCATATAACTCGTCTGCAAATTTTTCTACATGTATTTGCAATTTTGCATCCACCATTTGAAATTAGTCATACTATAATGATATGTCATTTTCAATAGATTATTCAAAAGATTTAGATAAACATTAAAGTAATCTTTTATTTTAAAATATAGATTTATCTCGACTTCGTCTCAAGAACTAGTTGTTCCAAGGTTATTATAATAATTAATAACAAAGAAAAGGTCCAAACTAAAATCACGGTTAGCACGAATGTATTAAGAAAGAGTCTTATCGATTCCAAAATTTGTCGTTTCGAATCTCCCACTCATTTAGTTGTACATTTTTATAATATACACACACATGTGTATATAAGACGAAAATGTATAGAATTATTGCATTGATCTTCTTTTTTTTGGTGTCTAAACCAGTTTTTAGATTTAAACTTTTACAACTCAAAAGAAAAACGAGTCATTAACTAAGTATGGTCCAGTGGTTGATGACTCGCTTTGTTGGTCGATAT